CTCGATTTTCTTTCATAGAAAGCAGTGCAATACTCTAGAAGATAGTTTTGAAGCAGCGCTTCAAATACGGAGTTCACCTTTTCGCTGATATCTTGCTCTCCTGCACCCTTGTTTGCCTGCAGCACGCGCAGCAACAACTGTTCCTTTGCAGTCTCAAGGAACTTACTCCTGCTCAGTCTCTTCTTCAATATCCACTTCCCTCCGACTCGGACAACCATGTGCCATTTGCCATCAAACACACATGGCTCAAGAACACCTAGATGCCATATGATGTGATGGCCCCATTTGTACACCTCGGTCTCTGTGAACTTGGTGTCCAAAAAGTGAGGTCCTCCTTTGCTCTCCTTCATGTGACTTTCGATTTCATCTCCAGGAGTTAGATCTTTGTCCTCGTCGTTTGGAATGTGGAACAGCGGATTGTCCTCCCGACACATGTCATCCTCCCCGGGCCCCGCGTCGTCATGTTGACCACGAGTTTGGTTCTCTGTTGGCATTTTCATGACGTGGTCGAACATTTGCCACATCAGCGTTGGAAACCCTGGGGCGCCTCTCTTGTCTTTCCATTTCGAAGTGCTTGCCTCGGTACCATCTCCTGCGGATGACGTCTGCGTATGTGTGAGCTGGGCGGTCTTGCAGCTGGTCATCGTCGGTCCCCCGACTTCAACCACCGCCGGGTCCCCCCCCGATAAGGACCCGGTGCACATGTTCTTGTCAGTTGCGTGGTTTCTTACATCAGGCAGCGGCAGGTCGATCTCGTCATCATCGGTATCCTTCTCACTGTCCATTATATCGAAACGGTCTTTAGGCTCCAACGCTTCGTTATAGATCCTTGCGTTGATGCAACACATCTTTTTGTTGAACCATAGGTCCTCGCAACGTGCCAGGAATATCTCGATTGCACCAATCTTGGCGTCGTGGTACCGCTGGAGGTGTTGGAGAGCGACGACTTTTTGCGCAACGTAATCTGTCTCCGTTCGTGTGTCAGGAGCATTGCAGAACAAGTACTTCCATAAAGATTCTCTCTTCTTCCTGAGTTTCAGGAACATGTCTCGGTCTGGCCGATGCTGGGTTTTGGGCCGTTCGAAGTGACAACGACTTTTGGAATTATGGACGAGGTGATCAATAAACGACGAACAATATTCGAGCATGATGGTAGAGCCGTCACATGCCACCACATGACGGCCAGATCAAAGCAAGTCCCAAACTGACCCAGATTGGACGTTGCCCAGAAGAAGCACACTCTCCCCCTCCTTCAAAAACCATGAACACAACTCCTTCATTCTTGCTGGTTGTCTCTCCCAGACCCCATAAACAGCTTTGTCTTCGCCTGCCACACCGATGTGCTGTTGTGTGCAACGGATGAATATATCCTCCTCGTAGTTAATGTAAAAAAACACATTATCACGTTTGGACGGGACGGTGACTTTTTTGAAGTCATTGCCCGTGTCGTGCAACACAATCGTCATTGAGTCGCGGCTCCTCAATGAAAGATTCCCAAGGAGGACACATGAGGATGGTTGCGTGCCATGATGCCGTCGCCAGCGGCCCGGAAGAACTTTCACACCCCCCCACCTGAAGATGTTCCTGAGAATGTAGTCCTCGCCCTTCAATCCACTGAAAATGATGAGTGTCCAATGTGTCCCACACAAAGTCATCATCATTTGCTAAAGTTCCACAAACCTCTGCTCCGTCCATGAATCCAGATTCTTGTGGGGAGCCAGGTCCAGCACCGCAAGGTGACAACTCAATTTCTTCACAGCACGAGTCAGATCCTCTGTCGGTTGCAGCCCATCCAACGACGCCATGCACACAGGCAAATACGTTGTATTACACTTCCGCTTATCCCACAGTATATGTTGTGCATTTGCGTTGACGCGCTGAAGCTCGTCCTTCAACTGGCTCACCGCTCCCACTATCTCATGCAGGAACAATTTGATGAAGTACGGACACTCGATATACATTTCAGTCGTCACCTTGTACCCCCCCACATTCCCGTCCCAACTTTCCCTCATCCACCCCCCCCAGTCATTTCGGCACGTTGTTTGTTCTCTCAACTGGAAGTTTCATCTTCTTTTTCTCCCATTTCTCTTTCGTCAACCCGTGCGGCTCAAACCTCTTCATAATATCATCATACCCGATGAAGAAATCGTCATTCCACTCACGCTGTCCCCTGCATTCCGACTTGAAGAGCACGTAGTTGAACATGCGCACCATGTATCTCTCCCTGCGCACTTCTGTGTAGAGGTCGTTCATGTTCATCAGTTTCTTGGCGAAAGTCCTGCCGGTGGTGACAACGACCTTCTCTGCCAAAATCAAATCCAATGCCATCTCCTTCTCCCCAGCAGTGAAATCCCTGAACACTTTTCAAGCGCTCGCCAGAGGGTCATGAACACACACATAGTACCCATTTGGACTTTTGTTCGACTGCACGTAGTGCACCAGTTCCTTTTTCCGTTTCACTGTTTTGGCAGCGAGACCTGCACCGGACGCCTTGCATGACCTCCCCTCTTGATACACCAGCCTGACTCCATCTTGCCCACGCAATTCTCCTTTCTCCCACATGTCGAAGAACCGGTTCACCAACTGCCACATAGCGTTGCCAGTGGTGGCAAGGCACATGAACGGCCTCAAGAGGTTGGACCAATTACGGACAAATTTGTTGTTCAGCGACTGATTCCGGAGCTCCGTGTCTGGTGTCATCCGTATCGCTTTGCGCAGAAAAGCGTGATAGTTCTGCTGCTGCGCCACCTTGTCATCTTTTCTTTTCGCCAGATGTCAGTCGCCCTTCGGGCATTTCATATGACCCCACAACCCTCTTATTGCGGTGACAACCATTCTGAATGACGAAGGGATAAATCGAGTCTCCCTCGTGTTGTCAAATGTGGAAATGTAGGCATACCCGTCAAGATGGTCATCATCGAAGTACACCGCACGCGCTTTCCACGACTGCACGCCCCATTTCCTGGCAGTGGGAGAGTTCGCTCGATCCCACCTCTTCGCAGCTTCCGGCGTGTGTTGGCCTGCCACGGCGTACCAATGGTACGAACTGACATCCGTGTCCCTCCAGTCCTTGGGTTTCAAACGTTGCCACTGTTTCTGCCCGTTCCCCGTGACTTCTATAACACGAGTCAGAATGAAGGTGTTTTTGTCCCACTCTTTCTGTTTCTCTGGCCGTTCCATAGCGTCTTTGATGGAGGCGACCAACATCTCGTTCAGGGGTCTGTGATTGTACTGGAATTCCCCGTTGTCAGGGTTCGGCAAAATCTTGCGGACATCTACGAACACCTGAACAGGCCGGTCGATCGCATTGTTGTTGTCATCATACCTTAGAAAGAAACATCTCGTTGTGTCGATAGCATCCGACACCAACTGTTCCGGTTTGGACGTATTATCTCGAGGGTCAACCTCGACGGCCTCGTCCCCGGAGTCTGCAACTTCCTTTCCACCGTTTGTCTTCGCTTTCTTCTTTGGTCGTTGGGAAGATCGTGGTCGCTCGCGCTTTTCCTTCGCCGCCTTCGCCGACTGTGCGTCCAATGCCTTCTTATACGCCTCCTCCGAAGCTGCCAAACCTATCAACTTCGACTGTCTTCGCCTCTGCTCCTCATCACCGCTAGCTCTCGATTTTCTCTTCCGCGAGCATACTGATCTCTGTGTGTTGAGGACGTCCTCGTCTCCAGAGCGAAGCCTCTGACTGTCGGCGCATTTGCGAGACTCATTAAGAGACACTCCGTGTTCATTGGCTTCGTCCTCTTCCCCTTCGCTCCCCGCTTCGTAGCTGTCTTCGTCCTACGCCCCCCAAACCCCAGTTCCCTCGTCATCATTGCCATCTTTGAGCCCACGATGGTCGTCACCGTCTTCCTTGTCATCCCCACCGTCGTCGTCGTCCCCTCCGTCCTCGTCTTCCACCCCTTCCTCGCCGTCCCCGACTCCCTGTTCGTCACCGTCACCTTCGTCGTAGCCAGTGAACTGATTATCTTCGTCTTCATCATGTCCTTCGTTTCCTTCAACATTTCTCTCAAGCAGAGGTTGCTCCGCTGATAAGTCGTCCTCTGTCTTCTCAAGATCCTCGCCAAATTCACTGCCACCATCATGACGTAAAGACGAAACTTCCGCCGGACCTTGCCATTGCTTCAGACCCGGCGATAACCGTTTGGACACCGTATTCATTAGTGAACGAGGCGAGAGATCAGACTTCTGGACAGGCTCAGACTTCTCTACGACCTTATCACGTTCGGTAATTCCCACCGAGCTGATTTGTCGAGCACCCGGGTCCCCACCGCCATCCGGCGACCCAACAGAGATCGCACTGTGTAGAATAGCCTGGCCCAGCGCCTGCAATTCATAAGACCGAAGCTTCGATGTGAACTCGTCAAGTTGAATATCGAACGGTATGAGGGGTTCCGAGAGCGCCAATTTGCTGTCCACCGTGCACACATGGCTAGACACCTTGTGGCAGTAAATTCTCTTGAGAAAATCGAAAGGGCGGAGCATCACAACCTGCGATCCGTCTTTTTTCCGCGACTTATCAAAAGGATGCATAGCAGCGGCTCGCATGCCGTACCCGACGAACTTCTGCAAATGCAGTGACACCTGTTTGTAGTTGTCCGGTTCCTCGTTACCATCAGCATCGAAGCAAGTGGTGAGGTGAAATCTCATGTACTCCTCAGCAACCTCCAGTTTATCAAACGCGTAATTCTTCACTCCACCGCGGGGTACTAAGCCCCGCGGAAATCTCTCAAGAAAACGACCGGGCCACAATAGGGAACTTTGATGCCCAGGTGCCAATCGAGCGCCCAATACTTATCATGGAACGTCGCAGCCCTGCCAATCACCTTTGGCGTCGACGCACCCGAGGAGGTCTCTTTCCCAGCTACATAGACACCACACCCGATACGGAAATAAGCACTCAATTGAATATGCACTGTTTATGAGCCCTTCACACATACACACAGAGAGAGAGAGAGAGAGAGAGAGAGAGAGAGAGAGAGAGAGAGAGAGAG